ATCAGTTGGGGCTTGAGAGGCAGTGATTTACCCTGTGGCGGATGTCAGCGGTTCGAGTCCGCTTATCTCCAACTCGTTAATTTATATGATATCAAACTATATGATAGCATTCATCGCACTCCATTTTTCCGATTCGGTAGTTTGGTTTTCGCTATGTTATGATTTATCATTTATGGACGTTGATAAGATACTTCCATCTAGCAGCACCTTAGGATGGCATAGAGTCGAAGTGAAGGGCGAGGTCAAATTCGATTGATTGATACAGGTTGATTTTCTGTTACGAGCAATTGAGGAAACAATAGCCAGTCCGATAGCCGCTTCAGCGGCTGCAATAGCTATAACAAAAATTGAAAAAATATTTCCTTTTAATTGGCAATTATCAAAAAAATCAGAAAAAGTTACTAGATTTATATTAACTGCATTCAGTATAAGTTCAAGACACATAAGGGCTCTAACCATATTTCGGCTCGTGATCAATCCATAGATACCAATAGAAAATAAATAGGCACTCAAAACAAGTACATGTTCGAGCATCATTGACCAACTCCTTATAAATTTGGATTCATTAACAAAAGAATATATCGGCAATAAAAAAAAGAATTTCTACATTAAAAAAAAACTCTTTCACTTCACATAGAATTCGACAGAAATAAATGTGAGAAAATTGAAAAAAAAAAAAAAGAATCTTGATTTCTATTACTAGTTCTCTAAAGATTTCTTACTGGCGAGCTACGACAATTGCGCCTATCAAAGAAACTAAAAGAATTATGGAAATTAGTTCAAATGGAAGAAAAAAATCTGTTGATAAATGAATTCCAATTTGTTGACTAGTACTTATCAAATCTTGCTCAATAATCTGATTTGGTCTTGTAGTCCAAATAATTTCGTACCATGATGTATCGGAAATAATAGTGATTAATGAAACAAAAATACTTGTAGAAACTATCAAAGTAATTCCATCCCCTACGGTCCAAAGATTCAAATCTTGGTAATATTCGGAACTATTCATGAACATCACAGCAAATATGATTAAAATGTTAATAGCTCCCACGTAAATAAATAGTTGTGATCCAGCTACAAAATGCGAGTTTGCAAAAATATATAATAAAGATATACAAACAAGAACCAGTCCCAACAAAAAAGCAGAAAAAATGGGGTTGGTAAGTAATACTACTCCTAAACTTCCTAATAGAAGACCCGATCCTAGAAAGACTAAAAGAAAATTGTGCAGCGTTTCAGGCAAATCCATTATATGTAAAAAAAAAAAAGACAACGAAATCGAAATTTCATGACCTTATTGATATGACCAGGAAAAAAAATTTATATATTTCAATTTTTCTTTGCATTGAAAAACCTAAGTAGTTTAAATTGATATAGTTATGGTTATATAATCAATGTCATTCCACTCTTTATACAAAAGAGTAGTTTGAAACGATATGAAAACTCAAGTATAAAGGTAGATAGAACATATATAACCATTGAAAATCTTATTGAAATTCCAAAATATTTTCAATTTCGATAATATATTAATATATTCTATTGAAGAATATAGTTCTCTAATAATTATAGAATATTTCTACTAATATGATATTTACTATATTATTCATTTTTTATACATTTAAAATATTTGATTTAGATTATTCTATTTATATCTATTCTATCTATAGAAATATATAGAATATTTGTGTGTGTCTTTTTTTTAAGTTGTATTTTATTGAATTATAATAAATTGTCTTTTTTGATTTGAACGTTCTCCTGTGCTTCCAGACATGCCGAGCTCCACATATTCTTATACAGTCAAAGGGGGATCGATTCCATAAAAGATCAGATCAGTAAGTAGAAATTGACTGAAATTTTATTTTTGGTTACGATCGGCAATGGAGTACCAAGGGTCTCTTTTGAATCGACGCAATCAGTATAGCTATCCTTCTTCGAACACAGCAACGAAATTTCACAATCAGTGACAAGATCAACTACTACCAAATAAATTTTCTTTTTTTCTGGTTGTTTCGATGTACTGAATCGAAAATTCCTCAAAGTTTAAGCTATAATATAAGATAGGGGTTCTTTACATTGATTCTTAGCTTCGGACTATAAATGGAGGATCAATGAAAATATGGTTAATAGCATGAATTGATTTCTAATAATATAATTCATGAAGGAAATAATAGTATTTCTAGAATTCAATTCGATAGGAAACATAGAAATATACTTTTTGGGGGTTGTCGAAGATCCTTTTTGTTAGAATCCCTTCTTGAATTTCCTTTTCCAGAATTCAATTCATTAGTCGTCCAGTAACGCATAACAATAATATCAATATCAGTAGAGACATATCCAAGAATGACCTATTCATAAAAACTTGCCCTTATTTTAAGCTTGTTTTTTTTTTATGTTATCTGGCGAAATAAAAATTATTTTTAACAAAATAAACTCATTTTGTACTCTGCACAATTTTATATTAAAGTAATATGCTGATTTCAGGCAACTGCATCATTTTTTTATGCCAGTGGGTGTTCCAAAGGTAGCCTTTCAAATTCCTGGCGAGGATGAAGCTACTTGGGTTGACTTATACCATCAACTTTTTTACAGCAGACTTCTTTTTTTAGGTGACGAGATTGAGAGTGAACTAGCAAATCAAGTTGCTGGTATGATGATATATCTCAGTTTAGAGAACAAGAACAAAGATTTGTATCTGTTTATAAATTCTCCCGGCGGAGAGGTTATGTCTAGAATGGCCATTTTTTATACTATGCAAGTTATAGAAGCACAAGTACATACAATATGCATGGGATTAGCCGCTTCAATGGCATCTCTTATTTTGGCAGGAGGCGGAATTACCAAACGTCTAACATTTCCTCACGCTTGGCGCCAATGATTCTTATTTGTAGAAGAAGACTATGCCTACGCCAATATGAAGTAAAAAAAGCATGGCACTCTGAGTTCGATATGCAAAAATAATTTTTTTTTAAACCATTCGATTCTATATCGAAAGAGTAGTAGGAAAAAGGGGAAGGGGTATTTACAATTTTATATTTCCTCTTATCTATTAATTAGAGCCTCTTTTAGTGTCACGATTTTTTTTTACTTCATTTGAAAAAAAAAAGAAACTTTGGGATTGCTGAATCAAAAACTACACGAAATTAAGAGAGCAACAAAATCATCATAGTCTTTAAATTTTTTAAAATATTCTAAAAAAAAAAAAGAAAGATGGTTATTCGATTCTTTACTGATATGGGTCTGATAGACCCGGTATATATATATATATATATATATATATATATATATATATATATATATATATATATATATATATATATATATATATATATATATATATATATATATATATATATATATATATATATATATATATATATATATATATATATATATATATATATATATATATATATATATATATATATATATATATATATATATATATATATATATATATATATATATATATATATATATATATATATATATATATATATATATATATATATATATATATATATATATATATATATATATATATATATATATATATATATATATATATATATATTATTTCTTCAATGAAAGGTAAAAAAAATGAAAAATTTAAAAGTATAGAGCCGTATGCTATATAAAAAATCCAAAAGATGCTTGCCTGTACGGCTTTCAATTTAAATTGAAGTTCTTTTGAATATCCCTTCTTTCTTATTTTCTTAAGTCAAGATTGAGAGAAAAAACCAAAATATATTATACTATCAGGGTAATGATCCATCAACCTCATAGTGCCCCTTATGAGGGACCATCAGGAGAATGTATGCTGGAAGCAGATGAAATGGTGATACTTCGAGAAACAATAACAACTATTTATTCGCAAAGAACACGCAAACCGGTATGGCATATATCTAAAGACCTGGAAAGGGATCATTTTATATCACCCGAAGAAGCCCAAGCCTACGGAATTATTGATTCCGTATCAGATTCTTTGCCTACGGAAGCAATTTTTGATTCCGGAGCGGATTCTTTTTCTTAAATGCAAAATTTGCATATGTCAATATTGATAGTTGGAATCAATATTGATGTTTGGACTATTTATGTTCTTTTTATTCCTACTAAACACAGAATTTGCTTTCAAACTATTTCTGTCCCCACTATTTTTTTTCTTCTGGGAATAGTGGATTTATTCCTAAACCTTTGTCCCTAATAAACACAGATTTATTCCTAATAAATACATGCATGAGATGTTGTCTTTTCTCTTTTTAATCGTCTTAACAACCAGATTTCATAGAGTCGAATAAATTCTAAATGGAAATTATTGGGTTAGGATTGATCGAAACCAGCTCATTATGTATATGATTCACCATGCCAACTATAAAACAATTTATTAGAAACGTAAGACAGCCAATCCGGACTGTAACAAAATCTCCCGCTCTTCGGGGATGCCATCAACGCCGAGGAACATGTAATAGGGTGTATGTGCAACTCGTTTAGATCATATACTCAAATTAAAAAATCGATTCTATTAATAAGAATTGTATATATATAATTCTATTGTGTATAAATTTTGTATCAAATTTATGGTTTCTCAATTGGTGCAAACCAAATCACCTTCATTTTCAATTTAAGATGCAAAGTATATTCCCCTTGGGGATAAAGTAGTTTCCCATTAAGCGGGGAAAATCCTATTTGAAAGAAAAACAAATTATGCCCTAAATTTAGAACGGACTAAGAGGGTCAACTACCCAGCTAATCTTCATACTTAAATACCGTTACTGTATAGCTAGATTTCATTGTGAAAGACCTATTACTAGATATTTCATGGGTAGAGCCCAGAAGTGTGAACTGTACAAATTCACAATAACATTGATTGAATCAAGATTCAATGAAGGAAGGGGCTCTGGTGTATAGAGAGGACCTCACCGTTTAACAAGTAATCATAGAAACGATGGAACCCACCATTTCTTTGTTTATTTTATTTACTATGGTTTTTGGCATACCTAGTA